CCCCCTCTCGGCTCTTGGGGCTGTGGCACTTTTCCTTCTCGTTGCATTCGTTCTTTTTGCCCTTCTCTGTGCCATTTCACCCCGTCACCTCTGCCTTTGGGGGGAAGGGGGGATCCCAAATCCACCCTGACCCCCCCACGGTGGGGGCCCAAAGCCATCGCGGTGGGGGAGAGCGTGGCAACCCTACGGCTGAGGACTTACGGGGTCCCCCCCCCTCTATGAAGGGGTCCCCCCAGGGTCACTGCAGCCCCACCCCCTTCGCCTGAAAAAGGAACTGCTGGGAATGGGCGGAGGGGGGGGAGCGGGGAGGGGGGGGGTGCGGCGGAAGCTCCACCCCAACCTGAAACCCCACAACGGGGAGGAGCCGCGCCTTGGGGCCGTTCCCACGGGGGGGGGCGGAAAGGGACCCAGCGGCCCCACTGGTGTCCCCATGGTGTCCCCGTCATCGTCCCACGGCACTGCTGGGGGAGCTGGGGTGGGGGGGGGTCCTCCTCCGGGAACACGGGAACCCCCCCGGTGCAGCCATAGCGCCGGCACTGCGCTGGATCAGCGTGGGCTGGGGTCACCCCAAACCCCGTGGGGGCTTCGTGAACTGTGGGGGGGGGACGACAAGGAAGGGGAGCGAAGCCCCCTGCCCGCGCTGAGCCCCCCCCCACCGCTCCCCCCATGCTGCCTGGAAAGCCCCACGGCTTCATTTTTCTGTTTTTGTTTTGTTTTGGGTTTTGTTTTGTTTTTAATATACTTATTTTGCTATGGGGGAAGGGAAGGATTTGGGGTTGGGGGGGGTGGGGGCCGGGAGGTTGAGGGGGGGGGGGGGAGGGGGTGTCACTTTTAAGCTGTAGTTTTTATAAGATGTCATAAAGTCGTCTCTTTTTACCAGTAGCGTGGTGTCGGTCCTTGGTGGCGTTCGTTAGGGTATTTAAATAAACGTCATTCTCCTTTTCTACCCTCGGCTCTGCTTCTCGGTTTGGGGGGGTCCCAAGCGGTGTCCACCCCCCCCCCCCCCCCCCCCCCCCCCCCCCCTTCCGGCGGACATTCCGGAGTCACTGCGGGATCCCGGCGGCGCCGTCCCCGTTGTCACCCCCGAGGTAGTTGGGGTTGACGGTGGTGGTGGTCGCGCTCCTGAACAAAGGGTTGTCCTGGGGGGGCGGAGACACAGATGGGGTCACGCCGCGGTCCGGACCCCCGCGTCCCCCCCCGGGTTGGGGTCGCTCACCTGATCCCACGTGGCGCGGAGCCGCTCTCGCTCGAAGCGCCGGAACTCGCGGCGGTCGTGGAGCTCCACGGAGATGCGGCCCCACGCGGCCACCAGCAGCAGCCCCGCCGCCACCGCCGCCGCCACCACCGCCACCAGCAGCGGGGACTGCAGCAGCGGGGCTGCGGGATGGGGTCAGTGCGCCGCCAGCCTCCCCGAATCACCGGGCCGGGGGGCACCGGGACCCATCCCGTGGGGACCTGGAGCTCCACAACCCACCCTCCGGGGTCCCGTGGGTGCCAGGGGCCCACCCTGTTGGGGTCCCGCGAGTGCCAGAGGTCCCGTAGGACGGCGACCCGCCCCTCGGGGTCTCTTGGGTGCCGGGAGCCCCTCCACCCATCCGCGGGGTCCTTTGCATCCCAGGGTCCCTTGGGGTGCAGAGACCCCCGGCCGCGCGGCGCTTTACGGTTGGGGGTCCCACGTACGGGGTCACTGTGGTTTGGGGTCCCTGCGGGGTGTGGGGTCCCCGTGCCCCCCCCCACACACACACTCACCCTCCTCAGTCCACACGGTGATGGCGACGTCCCCCCCCTCCTCGTCCTCATCCCCGTCCCCGCTCTCCACCAGGAACACGAGGACGCGGCCGTCGGGGGTCCGCTCCCGGCACAGCGCGGCGCCGAGGGGCGCGGGGGGGGGCAGAACCCGCAACGCCGTCCCGTTGCACGCGAGGCTGCAGTTCCCCCGCAGCGACCCCCGCCCGAAGGCAGCGCAGTCCGCGCAGTCCCTGGGACGGAGGGACCCCCGTGAGGGCGCCGACCCGCAGCGTCCCGCGTCCCCATCCCACCCCGTCCGCGCTCCCCCCGCGCCCTCACGTACCCCCACCCCCGTATCCTCGCTTCCCCGCACCCCGTAACGCCCCGCATCCCGGCCCCGCTCACCGCAGCCTCACGCAGCGCCCGGCGCAGTTCGGGCAGCGCTCGCACAGCGCTCCGACGAACCCGCGCCGGCAGCGGCAGCGCCCGCATTCGCAGCGTCCGTTCCCGCTGCATTCGGTGCCGCCCCGCATGCAGCCGTCCAGCGCCAGGGGACACCCGCAACCGCGGCCGCCGAAGCCGGGGCGGCACCGGCAGCTCCCGCACACGCATTCTCCCCGCAGCTCTCCTGGGAGCGGAGGAACAGCGCGTGGGGATGCGGGGCGGGGGACGGAGAGGGGGATGGGAACGGGATTCGGGGCTGGGGGCGAGAGATGGGAGCCGAAGGGTGGCGATGGGATCCGCGGGGTGAGACCCAAAGAGTTGGACCTAAAGAACGGGAATGGGACCAACGGGGGTGGGGGACGGGGACGGTGGGGACGGGACCCCATGGACGGGAACCCCCACGGGACGGCAGCCCCCCCCGTGCCCCTCCCCACCTCCGCACGGCAGCCCCTCGTGCCGCTCGCACGCCCCCTCCTCGCATTGGCAGTAGCGGCCGCTCAGCCCGGGGGGGCACCGACACGCCCCGCAGACGCAGCGTCCCCTCCCGCTGCAGGGGGGGGCCGTGCTGTTCTGGGGTCGGCAGCCCCCCTCCGCCTCCTCCGGCCCTTCGCACTCACAGCGGCGGCCGCGGCGGCCACCGGGGCACCTGTGAGGGAGATGGGGAGGGTTCGTGCTCACCCCATGTGCCCCC